TGATTGGATGGTGTGGAGCATGCCACGCAGGATTGTGCCCGCGAAGCACAACCATACACCCCCCCCCACACACACACAACACGCACCCACTTGATACGTTGCCGCCAGTGCCCCCTCTTCCTTATCAATGCCGCCCCACCTCACCCAAACTCATCCCGAGTGAATTCCCCCACGTCACCCTGCGCCACTCCACACACCGCCACTCCACGCCTCCCCGGGTCCGCTGCAGCGTGCTGAGCGTGCCGCTGGATGAGATCATCACGCCGGGCGCGACCATACGCGTCCCGGGCGAGGGCCTGCCGCGCCCCGGCGGCGCGGGCGCGAAGGTCAGGCGCTCGTCAACCCCGCGCTCCGCCACCCTGCGAGCCTGTGCTGGCTTGATATGACTCCTGCGTGCATGCATATTGACCTGCCCCCAAGCTCGCCGCCGTTGCTCATTTTCATTTTCTGCGCAGCATCTGCATCAACGGGCCTGCCTGCTTGGACAAAATTGATGCACCGCTTGATCGCGGACTTCTCCCTCCTCCGCCCTTGGCTCCCCTCCCCTGCATCCCCACAGGGCGACCTGGTGCTGGAGTTTGACCTGCTGTTCCCCTCAAACCTGACACTGCAGCAGAAGCTGCTGCTGAAGGGCGCCCTGTTCCTGCCGCCCAAGCTCGACGCGGTGCAGGTACGCGTGCGGCCAGCTGCACATTTTAAATTCCCCCTGGGCTGTCCATGCGAGATCACACTCAGCGACTGCGTGCCTAGGTTTGTATAAAACCACAGACCACAGCAACAGCAGCCTGGAGGGTTGCTGCACCGTGCCTGCCTGACTGCCGTGACCCAACCCACCGCGGGCTACTGCATCGCAGGCCAAGGCGTTGAGGACGTTTGAGGCGGCGTTCCGGGACAGCCAGCACGGCTGGAGCACGGGCGTGCTGCCCGGGGAGGAAGGAGGCCACTAGTGCGTGGTCCCAACCGGGCTGCTGCAAAGCGGGAGGGTGCCGTGCGCCGGCTGGATCACTGCAGGCGAGGCGTTGCCAGGAATCGCCCCGCTGCTGTATCCATGTAATTGCTTTCCCGTATCAAGAAATAACAGTGTTAGCCATCCTGGGTGGCGTCAGCTGTGTCACCAAGGTCGTCGGCAGGAGGCAGCCAGCACCAGCGCCGCCTGCACCGGCTGCGCGCGTACAAGGCGGGTGCCCGCCTCCAATTTGCTGCCATACTTTCAACATGCTGTGATTACACTGGTCAGCCCGCCATGGGCCTGTGCACCGCGGGGATACAGCTGTCCCCCCGCTGCGCCCGCCACTCCCGCTCCCGCGCGTCCGCCGCCGCCGCTGCCGCGTCCTTCGCGTTCTCCCTGAGCATGGACGCCACCGGCGCATGCGCGGGGCGGGCGGCTGCGGGCCTGCGGGGGACGTCTGGGGCCTTCTTGTCCGCCAGGGCGGGGCAGTGCAGCTCCAGGTGCGTCAGCTTGGTGGAGCCTGGGCAGCAGGTGTAGACGAGCGTCGTTGGAATGCCGGTGAGCGAGCGCCTATAAACATGCAGCATGTCACCGTGACTGCGTAGCTGAGGGCATCAAGCCAACCGCCTTGGGTTCAGGATTGAGATCCGCCCTCTGCCAACGGGTTGCTCCAAGTGGCCACCTGCTGTTGACTGGATATTGTTCCCAAGTGCGCACAGAAGGCTTCTGTTGGCAGTAAATTCAATGGCCAGCCCTGGTTGCCGCTTTCCCCCTGCGCTGCACCCACCGCTGAGGTCCAGTTCTGTGAGGGCGTCGCTCCAAATGATTGCCTTTTCCAAATATGGACAGCCCGCCACCATGAGGTTGGACAAGGCGGGGCAGTGGATCAGCGCCTGTGTTGTTTTGCATGCACGGGGTTTTGAGCAGCATGGCAGGGGTACGGTTTGGCCAGTCGCGCTCTTGCTTCTTCCTGGAAGGGGTCGGGCCAGCCATCAGCACGTGCATACTTTGCGCTTTAATTGGCACATGCAAAGCTCAAGTAAGCTGGCATTCAGGGCCCCTGCCGGTGCTGGGTGCTACTATGCACCCATCGCAGCAGCGCCCCCTGACACTCCTGCCATATTCCCTGCTGGCCTGCTGGGTCACCTTGGTCAGAGCGCCGCAGTCGCTGAGGTCAAGCGTTTTGAGCGTCGCGCTCTGCACCATGACGTATTCCAGAGACGGGCAGCTTCCCAGGTCCACGCTCTCCAGCGCCGGGCAGCTGCCCAGCGGGCTGAGCACCAGGCTGCGCAGGTTGGCGCTGCCGCGGAGGCTGAGGGCGCGCAGCTGCGGCGGGCTAAGCCTGAAGAGCTCAGAGGCGAAAGCGTCGCGCACACTCGGCGACTCGATGATGCGGATCTGTTGAGCATGCATGCGGGGCCGCAGATTCCGGTGCGGGCGACAACCATACTGACATGTGCTTTGAACTTGCATGCATGTCCAGGCATCTCAGTTGTGATTAGAGGTTGCGTGCAGTTGCACACTCACATGCGGGGCTTCACTTTGTGAGCTGCGCAACGCCGCTCGACCATGGGTGCGCAGCAAAGCCGGGAGTGTTCCAACCGCGTGCGCATCGTAAGTCCACGGCCTGCGCTAGCCCAGGCAGCGCACCTCCTTGCACGACGCCAGCAGCCGCTCCCTCAGGGCCCCCCAGGTCGGCCACGTGTTTGCGTCTGCGCCCGGCACGCGGCGCGCGACGTCAGATGGACGTGCGCACGGCAGCTTTTCGATGGAATAGGTGGTTGGCGCTGCATGCGCGGGTCTGGGGCCCAGGGCGCGCCGCTGGCCTCAGGGCGCACCTGGTAGGGCGGTGACGGGGCGCTCCCATACGCCGCTCTGCACGCTGCGCTCCCAAGTGGGGTCGTGCTCTGGCTCGAGCAGCTCCGGCTCCTTCTTGCCCTTCTTTTTCTTTGGGGCCATGCTTTCCGCTTGGACGCTGAAGCCCCGTCAACTCGAGCGCCGCGACAAGCTATCGTCTGTCGGGGTGCCCTTGGCGCAGCACGCGCTGCGTGCTGTGCAGCAGTACGAGCACAGGTTTGACCAGCACAGCAGCCACGCCTGGGTGCCGGAGGTACAGTCGCTAAATAAAGGATTGTCGACCTTAAATGTTACGATGCCTGATATGGATCGGCTCTTGATTGGTTGTTGCGAGTGCGGTCAGCGTGAGTGCGACGGTGACTGGGTCGTGAGATTAGTATTGCACAATGATGTAGTATTCTCAGCGCAGAAGGTTTTGGGATAGGTGAGTTGCGAAACACCGGAACACCAGATCACTAGCGTCTACATGTGCATTCTCAGCGCTCTTGAAGAGGCACATCATAACTAGGAAGTATCCGTATCAACCTCTGATTACATCAGCCATGCTCAATCTGAAAGCGCCGTGCGGACACACTGCTCGTCGGAGCCTAGCGCCCACCAGGAGCGTCAATGGGGCCCGGCGCGTCGGCAAGGCTAATACCAGCATTGTAATCAATAAGGTGGAGCGGCCAGCTGCAGCGCGCGCGGCGATGCAGACGCCGGGCGCTATTCCTGCAGCCGGCGGCGGCGCGGCGACAGCCGACGACCCGCATCGCGTCAGGTGGGATTACTCATGGACAGGTGCATGCAATTGCACGAAGCTGTTGAATCCATGTGCATAGGCAAGGCGTGTGTTGCTGTGTTGGCTAGTCATGTGTCTGGTCCATTTTTCAGGCGCCTCCCCGCTCCCGGCCCCAACCAGTGCCTGAACCTCCCACAACCCCCCGCTCTTCGCGCCTGTGCATGGTGCCGTAACAGCGAGAGCGGCCTGCCGCGCACTGCTGTGGTTGGGGTGCTGGGCGGAGGCCAGTTGGGCCGCATGATGGCGCTCGCTGCGGTGCGCTCGCCCCACCGCTCCAGCCTGCACCAGTCTGCAGCAGCGCTGTGCTCCTGTTCGCTGTTGTGTGTGCGGGCGTGTGTACGCACACGCACGGACGTGCGTGTGCGCGCACGCATGTGCGTTGGGCAGGGGCAAGGGAAGGTCTCCCGCACCCCTCGCAACGCAGTCAGGCAACCGAGCCATGGGCTGATGCAGAGCAGCTCGACCTCGAGCTCCGCAGGGGCCAGGGCAGACAACCCTTAGCCCACCCTGTACGCTTTCCTCCCACGCACTCTCCCTTACTCAAGCCCCCCACCTTACACGACCCCGGCACGCCGCACCCCCCCTCCCCCCAGGCCAACATGGGCGTCAAGATGCGCTGCCT